AATCTCTGGATTTTCTTTTATTAAGTAAATGGCCATTGTTTTTAGGGTTAATAAGATATATGCATGCTAAACATTAAGCAAAAGACGTTAGGGAAGGGCAGTTATTAGAAATCAGTTAGGCATAGTTGGAAGGAAGAAAACGAGGGAGGGGGAAGGGACGAGTTTAGACGTATTTACCGAAACATTTCTTACCATTATAATAATCTCACAAATTTTCTAATTTTCATTTCTTATCTCCTTTTCTCGTTTTTCCCCTCGTTTTCTCTTTTTTCCAATCTTTCTTATTATAACTTTCTATTGCGATGACTAAGGAGTGGAGAAAATGAAGATTGATGGGAGGGGAAAAGGTACAGGAGGGCTGATTTAGCTTTAAATGGAAAGGGAGGAGGGAGTGAAAGAGGAGTAAAAGGGGGAAGGGGGTTTTCTGATGAATTTTTTCGCAGATTCATCATTTTTAGGCGTTCCTGCAACCGTATTTTCGACTGTTTTCGCCTGTTTGTTCTTTGATATGTAGAACTTGTGCATTATTTTTCTGTATTTTTCCTTAGTTGTCGATTTTGCAGGAGTTTCATCAGACTGGTGTTGCCATTTGCTTGGCAATGACACGTTAGTGCTATTTTTGCCGTTCGATCTTTCCACGTGGAATCTATCAAAGGGAGCGTTTGTTTCGTTGCTGGAGTATTGCGAAGATAATTTACCAGTCAAACGTATCCTGCTTTGTCTCGACAAAAATAGCATTGATGAAACGGTACATTTTTTTTTTTCAAAATTTTATGCTCTGAAATAGAGAATGTGCTTAGAGCGTGAGCGGATTCAGAGCAGTCTCTGGAGGGAGGGGGGATTGGAGCGATAAGCGGTATTGAACAGAGTTTTCTACAGTAAAACAGCTGCTACCCGCCTCCCCGCCCCGCTTCCGACAGTGGCTTTCGTGGACCAAGGGACCAAGATTTTTATAACTTTTTTGCACATATTTCTATAATTACTTCGTTCTGTTAACGTATTTTTTTGATTTTCATTAGGAATGATTTCAGCTTAAGGTAAAGAACTTTTCCCGTGCGGTATTTTTTGCCGATAATTTGCATAATTTTGGTGTTTTTCTAGAACTGTTTTTGCATTGTTTCAGACCGCATCCTGTTTCAAGTATATTGGCTTCTGTTTCCTTCATCCGGACAGCTATCCGCGCAACATTGATCCACAGAAAGTGTTCGCCATGGTCTACACCATCTAGTATGGAACATCGTCCCCTTCCCCCCACATCCCCCGTATCAGTATTCCCCCTGTATTGTTCAACAGTATTTCATGCAATTTGTAGAATGTTCATAGTTCGGCATCGTATTTTTTATCCCAAAATATGCAAATTATTGGATGGTTCATAATTATTTTCCGTATTAGTTTAGAATTATTATTTTGTGTTCTGATATTTTTTTATAGTGCGTGTAGATTGGACTACAATGACCCGTGATAAGCAATTAGTAATAATGTAAATTAAGACAACATTCTGTGACATATTAAGAGCTTTCTAATTTCATCTACTGATTTAGGTCTCCTGATTTAGTGAGTTTTTTGAATAATTTTGCTCAAAAATTGATAAAATTTGAATATTTCATTGCACCTAGTTCATGAAAATCCCCTCGAACATCGATATGGCACTCCCAGATATTCATAAAAATATCGAAAGTAAATTTTCGAGCAGTTTTGCTAGGGGGTTTTCTGTCCTGGATAACCTCGCCGTCTAATTCGGCATTTGCAGAATCTTGTCTTAGTGGTCTTTTTTTTTATCCGAGGAGTACCGAGCGATTTTTCGTGAAATGTGAGAATTTTTTGGCTCATAAACTGATAAGAACTAATAAAAATTTGAGTTCACACGATTACAAAGTATTAGAAAATTAGAAGCACAGTAATTACAGATAATACTCTCTGTTCTTTGATGGTCATCTACGGTGTGTGGTACTTTTGTATCCCTTCGATTTCCCGTATTCTTTGTAACTCGTATTTTTCAGATTTTCAAAGTTAATCATTTTATCTCTCGCACAAATCGTGTTCTCTCTCGCTGATTTATACCTTCTGCTAAACATTCTCATATTCATTTTGTACTTATTTTTATACAAAATAAATATAGTTGGGCCTATATTTTGTTCTACATCCCCAATGGTTTAAAACGTGGTTTCACGTGGACCTTTTTTTTATCAATCCCATCTTAAGTGGACTAGATTTTCTCACGAGGGGTTCCGGCCAGACTT